TTATTGGCTTTTTAATCTAAAGTTATATTTACATATTGAAGGGAGGTACAACTGAATACATAAGTAGTTATATTAAATTAAATTGTACATTTTTGTTAATTTTAAAAATTTAAAAATTTTGTAAACATTTTCTGGATTTGGACTTAGTGCTTGCTGGAGGTTGTCGGATATTTCTAGACTGTCCTTGATGTCTCTATATTTTAGGCAGTTGCAAATTACATGTTTGACTGTGAGAGTTACTCCACAGGTAGGGCATAGGGCAGGATCCGTTCTGTTCTTGAGGTGTCCGTGGGTCAATCATGTGTGGCCAATTCTTAATCTGTTGAGGATTACTTCTTGCCTACGAGGTAAAGATGTAACTGGCCATGGATATATTGAGGGTGTTATCTCATTAAGTTTGGTGTGCATTATTTGCCATATCTGTTTCCATTGATTTGTTATAAATTTGTTAATTATGTTTTTGCTGTCTTGTAGGGTATGGATATTAATTTGATGTGCATCAGGAGAGGTAATGGCTTGTTTGGCGTATGTGTCTGCTAATTCATTTCCTTGGATTCCAATGTGGCTTGGGATCCAAATCATAGTGATTGATTGAGATTGGAGTTCTAAAGACGATATTTGGTTTTGAATCTTAACGAGAGGTCTATCGATGAAAATGTTCCATTGGCTGGGTTTAGGCGTGTAGGTTCACCATTATTTAGTAAGGTGATGTTGTCGGTTTCTAGGATCTTTTCAATTTGTTTACCTCTACCGTTTGTTTTGTCAGATCCCCAGTGCGCGCTGTGACTGTTAAAGTCCCCCAGTATGAGGAAGGGAGTTGGTAGTTGTTGGATTATGTGTTCTATGTCAGAGGCTTCGAATGTTTTCTGATTTAGTATGTATACATTGCAGATTGTGATTTTAGTCTCTAGTTGGATAGTTGCAGCTACTACTTCTATTGAGGTTTATATTGGGATTTGAGAGCTAGGAAATTCTGATCTTATTAGTATAGCTACTCCTCCACTTGCGCGGTTGCATTGTGTTCTGTTGAAGATGTACGTGTTGAAATTCTTTATGTGAAGTGTATAACTGTCTTTTAAGTTCGTCTCTTGCAGGCATATAATGGTCGGGTTGTGGATTTGATTAACTATTTTAATATCGTTGGGTTTTTTAACGAGTCCATTTATGTTCCATTGTATATTATTTATACTCATTATTTTTATTTTCTTTTATTTTTAATTTTTTATATTGTGGTTGTTCTTTAATTTGGTTCAGTTTTTAAATTATCATGTAAGATTACGTATTATTTGTCTGTCTTGTTTTATTTTTGGTTATTATTAATATATTTTTATTCTTGAGGTGTTGATTGGAATAATAGATTAGATAATTTAGTAAGTTTTATTTTTAGCGCCCGGTCTTTTATCATTGGTCTAACTATTTCAATAGTTGTAGATACTGTAGGTATGTCTACCGTTGTTTCATTACAGAGTGTATGAATGTTAATAGCTTTGTTTGAGAAGTTTTCGTTACAACGAGTAGATACTGTTTTGGAATTTTTTAAGAAAACTGAAAATCTAATAAATTTAAAATAGTTCCATATTAACAGTAATATTACCAATTTTTATTATATTTTTTTCATTGAAATTTAATCATTATTAGTTAAAATCTATGTGAATGCAGAATGAAATATGTGAACATGTATTTATCTCTAAATAGTCAGACATGTTATAATAATTGTTAAGATTCATGGAAAGTAGTAACATAATAGTTATCTATACTGGTGTACAATACATATATAATATAGCATAAAATTAAAAAAAAAACTTGGATTTGTATTCAAATACTTTGTAAGTATTCATAAAATACATTTTTAAAATAGTATTTTAAAAGTATTTTTAATACTTTAAGCCTGCCAGATCTAAAATTCCGTGGTCGGATAAAATGGTCGCTTAAACGTCAATCCAAATTTAAAAATGACAAAATAAAAAAGGTTTCATACAATTTTAAAAACGTGTTATAATATTATCATAGAAGTTTTTTTCAAAACGAAAATTCATCAATAATTATTATATCGCTTCGGGGTTTTGGTGAGAAGAGCTCTTATTGTTTTAAAATACACGTAAAAATATCAAATATTTAAATTTTTCTACGCAAATTAATTTAAAAAAAAGAAATAAAGTGGGTGATTATAAAAAAATCCCAAGTAAATCAGAATTTTCTGCTGAAGTTTGATCACAAATCTGCACAAACGTGGAATAAACGAACAGATCAATAAGAAATAAAAAAATTGGTTAGTGGGGAGGCTAAGTCCTTAGGCCCCTCCCTCCTTCAATGTTTAACATCTCGGAAATGGGTTAAGCACAAACGATGGGAATAAAAGCACAAACAAGCACAAACGAAATTCAAACGACTGTAAAAATTTGAACTCGAAAGTCCGAGGTAGTGGGGGGCTGAGCATGTCCCCAGCACCCCCACCTAGAAAGTTCAATAACTCGGAAACGGGGTAAGCGCAAACGACGGGAATAAAAGCACAAACAAGCACAAACGAAGCACAAACGAAGCACAAACGACTGTAAAAATTTGAAGTCGAAAGTCCGTGGTGGGGGGGCTGGGGACATGCAGCTGTTCATAGTTGCTAGTCAACTGAGGTCGTCACACGTCGTCTGATAACATTAACTATTGAAGGCGTAAAAACCCCCAGAAAAAGTATATAAATATATATTTCTATAAAACAATTGTAGAATAACATCGCATTTGTGTTAATTTGTATTTGTGGTATCTGAGTAAATTTTAAACAGATATACTATGTTTTTCAGTAACTTATGAAACATTATTTCTAGGCAAACCACATGCAATATCACATAAATATTATTTGGGAATATTTTCTATGAAACACAAATTCAACATAGAGGCGATGTTATGTAACTTTTCTTGCACACTGGGTAACTGATACGAAAATACGCATACAAATACCCAATATCCAGAATTTTTTCAGTGATATCCACTGAACCAACAACAAAATATTTGACAAACGACCGGGTCGGGCTTTAGTGATCCAGATCTTTTGGTTTATATCAATGACCCGTTCGTTCGCGAACGACACATCACTAACCCTTTCAATGCTGAAATAAATTTCTCTATAATGTGTGCTGTGCTGAATAAATTTTAAATTTTTCAAGAATTTTAAATTTCTCCTTACAAAAAGTTTAATTAACATATATTCCGAAGAAAAAATGTTTAAAAAAAAAATAATTAATTTTTGACCGAGTTATTCAATTTTTTATTTTTCTAAACCAGTGGTTCTCAAATCTTACGCATATCCGTATAAACCGTTCAAATATTACGTATAATATTCCTTTTTTTCGTAGTACAAACAATAAAAATTTACCTAGATGTGAGAACAAATTTATTTGTAGATAACCGTCAAAAACAATAAAAATTATTATCATTGTCACGGATGCAGTATCATATTTGTTTTTTGGTAATCACTGGAAATGACAAAATATAAATTCATTCAAAATATCTTTGGAATTGAAGGAAACAATTTTTTTTCAACTGATTTGTTACTTTTTTCCCTAGATAGCACTGCATATTTTGTTAATGTAATAATTACACTTTATTTTTTAATAGAGCAAAATCGTATACGCAACAGTACCACACCTAAGAAATAGACTATTGTCGCGTACACGCGACAGTAGCACTCAAAAAGCTAAGCCCTTGTAGCCGCGCCTAAACTAGACCGCTTAAAACGTCGGTTAACTACGTGTCGACGTTGGCCATCAACGCAAGACCATACTTTTTACCATCTAAATTTATTATTATTTATTATTTGATGAATGATAAATATAATAAATGTATAAATCGTTTTGTTGAACTTGTATTGAATATTATGAAATAAAATATATAAATAATATATAATATATAAAAATTCAACTGATTTTTATTTCTTAATACAAATTAACAATACAATTACACAAGTTTCGCTGTACAAAAACTATATTTATATAAAATTAAATATATTATGTAATAACCATTATAACTGTGAATGTGTACGAATCATTAAGACATAAACCAAGAAATAAGCTACAAAAATACATCGTCACGGCAGGTCGCCTTCATCGATATTTTCCGAGAAAAGAATAACCATAACATTGCTAAAAATAAACGTAAACGAAATCCAAATACACAGTTTAAATTAAGTTATTTCGCTGAATAATGATAGATAATTGCTCTGTAAACCGAGTGAATTATAGGACCATAAAAATGAGCATAACATTTGTCAACCGCGGCACTAAACGTGTAAAATATGTTTTTCTGTAATTTTTCTTATCACTCATTCGTATGTTATAACCAATATTTTTATAGAAAATTAAAATTGTTAACTTATTTGATTTTGTTAAAAAAATGATCCACATTAAAAATATTTGAAACGTGCAACTCACATATAATCGATACCTTAAATGCGGATTCAGGGGGGGGGGGTGATCGACCCCTTTGCCCCTCCCTAAAATACGCCCGTGTTCCGGTATTGGTTCCTATTATTTAAAAGGTTCCTGGTTCAGAACCGGTTCTTTTCGGTTCGATTCCTGACCCTGATTTAGACTGCCTAAATATATATTTTGTTCTTACTCTTCACTTACCGATAACGAGTAAAAAAACCGTATAATCATTATACAGTACAATCACATAGGTATAGTCAAGGCCGTAACTGGAAAAAAATTTCGGGGGGAGTCTAACATTATTATTTAACACAATTTATAGTCAATAAACTATATTCACCGCTAAAATGTTTTTACTTTTGAACATTTCGGGAGGGGTCCGGACCCCAGGACCCCCCCCCAGTTATGGCCTTGGGTATAGTTGTATCACTTATTCCAATAACCTGGTTGAATTAAATTATGAATATCTTTTAGATATAATAAGACGTATTATATTTTTTAATTATAATTAATAAGTATATAGGTATATACATATTTTGTAAATAAGAGGAATACTAATGAAAATTATTGTTCTTTTTTTAGTTTATCCATTACCAGATGAAATTTATAAAGAATATTCCGATCGTATCGATTCATTGGGTAAGTAATTTTCGTTTAATTTTATAAGAAAGTTGAATGAAAATAATAACGGAAATAAAATCTGACTAATGACACAATGAATTTATTTGTAGTGTTTGTACTTAAGTTATTTATCCTTACTGTTCATGAATTTAATATTGTTCTTTTAATTCGTTAAAATAGTTATTGTATTTTATTATCAATATATTAATTTTATTTAATTCATAAACATTGTTATTGTTTTTTTTTATTATTAATATATTAATTAATAGGGGTCTCAAACGATATATTTTTAAATATCGATATCGAATTAATACAACCAATATTTTATCACAGCATCGAAATATCGACATATTAAAAAATCGATATATCGAAAAACCGATTTGTTTCTATTTAGTACTTATTACTTTCTAATATTTATACCTAGTACATACCTAGATATAAATCGAAAATTCAAAATATCGGTATCGATGATTTATCAAAGTATAAAATGCAATAAAAAAAAAAAAATAAATAAAGTAGAGATCAATTTTTTTAAATTTATTATTTAAAAATAATAAATATTATAAATATGAATATAAAGTAAATTAATTAAAATAAAAAAATCCACCATATCCTTTTGGTATGATTTATTCTGTGTGCATTTTATTTTTATTTTTTTCTACACTTTCATCTTCATATGAAATATCTGTGTTCTATGAACAAATTAAAAATTAAAAAAGTGGGCTTAGAGAATATGTGAATATTAATAAAATAAAAATTTCCAATGAGCTACTTATAGTGACGTAATACTAGATCCGATAGACATATACCAGGGATGGCAAACCTTATGAACACTGCGTACCAAAATTACCTTTTTTTTTTTTTTATAGAGCGTGCCATGAAAAAAATAAATATTAAAAATATTATATTTTGTTATATTATAATTTGATTGTATAATTAATGTATTAGTCAAAAAGGTTAGTTTAGGTATATAACAATAATAATATATAATAAATAATAATAATAATAATTATAATAATATTGCTTTATTAATTATTTATATTATATTATATTATAGGTCCTATAATATTATATATTATGTGTTGCATCGTGGGAGGAGTGTGGTAGGTGAAAATAACGTGCTACGCATGAGTGCTAAAAGCAGACTGGTTTTATTTTTGTGTCAAAGCACCAAATGGCCAAACGAGATAACCATAATATATATATATATATATATATATAATGAACATATAGCCGCTATTCTAGATAACAAATATTATAAGTTATAGGCTATAGCTATATGTAACACCTCCCTTTTTATATATATATATAATCAAAATACAAATTACAAATTAAGCTTAGTTGTAGGTACAATATGTCGCTTACGTATCCAACTAGGCTTCAAAACAACGTTATTATCTTTATCCAATTATTCCTGAGCTGTTTACCGGCAGGCCTTAAATGTACAATATTTCGTCGTTTATTATTACCCGTGTCATCACTAAAAACATATGATCTAAGCGTATTATATTTATTGATGATTTTACCTGGCTTCCACGTTTTAGTTAATAGATCTCTAAACATAATTTTTTGGCCCCGTTGAAAATCATTATTATTTTTAACTTTAGCATTTCTATCGTAATATAGTTTTGTTTTTACATTCTTATTTTCACGTACTAAATTAAAATTATTTACTAAAGTAGGCTTTAGAGAGTTGTTTAAGATTGGAATTTTCGGTCTTAAAATGCGACTCATTAAAAGTTGTGCTGGGGAAAACTTAGAACCAATTACAATAGCACTGTTACGATATTCTAACAACATTAGTTGCTTATCAACTTTACCTTCATCCGATCTTTTTAGTATTGATTTCGCAATACTTGCACCTTTTTCCGCAAGTTCGTTAGATTTTGGGTATCTAGGGCTTGACGTAGTTATAATAAATTCCCAATTAGTCGCAAAATTCTGAAATTCGTTAGAATTAAAAGGCATATTGTCTGCCACTAGTTGCTTTGGAATCCCATGTATCGAAAAAATAACTTAGTATTTTAATTATTTGACTTGAGGTTTTAGAAGATAAATAATTTAATTCAAGCCAACCGGAATATTAAACAACTAGTACTAGGTAAGTATCTTTCCCATAATCCAAAATATCACATGCAACTTTCTCAAAAGGTAGATTAGGAACTTCTTGACATATCATATTGTCTTTAGTATTCTCGCTCCTAAATTTATTACATACTGCACAGTTACCAGGGTTGCCAACTATCCAGTTAAAAAAATCGGGACTTTTTTCCAATATGAGAACATTTTTTTAAGGTTTTAATATATTATAAAGGCAATCATTTCTGGCATAACATATTATAATATAAGATATAAGTATGGATATATTTGCTCTCTATATGTATATACTTTATTATTATAAATTGTATAACAAACATAATGTTTAATAAAATAATAATAATAATAATATAATATTTTAGACGGAATTTTTAATAAAAAAAAAGTATTATAAATTATAAATTGTAAATAATTATTAATTTTTCCAATTGTATTTTTTCTGGCTCTTCACGGCATTCAAAAAAGCTGTATCATCTTTCACTAAGTTCACGAAATCAGTACAGGAACTATTTGTGGAAGGCAATATATTCAGTGTTATCATTAATTCGTTTTTTATTAAGTCCACTGAACAACGATTTCTAACATCTGTCCATTTTAGTTTCATCATCGAAAAAACCCTCTCTACATGAGAATTAGATGGTGGAATACTTAGAATAAATTCTAATAATATTTCAAAATTTTTTAATTTCTGAATTGATAAAAGTTCTAACCATTTTTCATAAACAGTTAAATTATTTTTGAAGCTAACTGTTGGTATAGCAGGCTTGATAATTGTAAATTCTTCAAATATTTCATCTAAAGAAATTACATCAACTAGTCCAAATACTTCAATTATTTTTGCAATATCTTGATAAAGTAACAAATTTGATTTTAAGCAAAGTGGTTCCAAAAATTTTAGTGGCGAATATTCATAATCAAAATGATTAGATAAATAAGTTAATGCAGTGTTGTAGAACATATCAAAGTCTTTTTTTATAGTATTTATGTTAGATACTGATAATTTATTCTTACATGTGATGAAATTTGAGCCATAAAACTTTTCATTTATGCGAGTTGAAATATTAGTTTTTAACTCATTCATAATATAAAATATCTCGGGGGAACTCGTCTCAGACTTTTGAAGTAATTTACTTGCTTTTTCAAACATAATAGTAACATTGGCACATTATAATAAAACGCTATTACTGATTACTATACAGATAAAATAAACATATCTACGTATATCTTGGTAATTGGTTAGATATTATTTATAAATAAGTAATAACTGTAATGTTCAAATGCCATAGTATCTATAAATATAATAATAGATTATTGCTTTTTACTCGATAACGAATGAAACATTTTATCGTTGATTATAAATGGTTTAGTTTCTTAGTAATTTCCTTATGTCCCGGAAAAAACATGTCCCGCATAAATTTTGATCGGGACGCGGGAAAAAAATCTCAAAATCGTGAATGTCCCGCAAAAATCGGGACGGTTGGCAACCCTGACAGTTACCAATATATTCCTCGATATCTTTATCTAAACCATTCCAATAAAATAAAGAACGTGCTCTCGTTTTAGTTTTACAAATTCCAAAATGAGCTTCGTGTAGTTTAAATTTTATTCTGTAACCTCATAGGGACAAACACACGATTATTAAGAAAAAGTAAATCGTCCTCAAATGATATTTGGTAACGCATATTAAAGTATGATTTAAGCTCACGTGAGACCTTATTGTTCTGGTTAGGCTAGCCATTCTTGCACACGTATACTAATTGTTTTAATAAATCATCTTTAATTGTTTCGTGTACAAACTCATTTCGAATATTTATAGACATATTAATTGAATGGACTACATCGGAGACATCGATATTAACATCGTTATCTTGAGACAATATACACGCTCGACTTAATGCATCTGCGATAAACATTTCTTTCCCCGGTACATGTATAAGATTAATATCATATCGTGATAATTTGACCTTAATGCATTGAAGCCTTTTAGACGGAATGTCTTTTATGTTCTTTTTCATTAGCGAAATTAAAGGAAGGTGATCGGTTTGAACTGTCACGCGCCTACCATAAATATAATGATGAAATACCTTACACACAGATAAGACTGACAGAAATTCCTTATCAACCTGTCCGTAGTTAATTTCGGTTTCTGATAAGTTTTTCGATTTAAAATAGACTGGTCTGCCTTCTTGTAACAAAACACATCCAATGGCAAATTTACTACTATCTGTCTGTATTATCACTTCTTTTGTGTTATCGTAGTTTCTAAATACAGAGGGACTAGCAATTATTGTTTTAAGTTTATTTACACACTCATTATGTATTGATGTCCATACAAACTCATTATTCTTTTTAAGAAGATCTCTTAGTGGTTTAATCAACATTGCCAAATTAGGAATAAAATTTCCGACATAATTAACCATACCTAAGAATCTTTGTAAATCTTTTATAGTTTTTGGTATCTCATACTCGAAAATAGACTTAATACGATCACTATCTAATTTCATGCCTTCATATGAAAATATATGTCCAAGATAATTAACTTTATCTACCTTATATTGAATTTTGTTTTTATTAAATTTAATATTATTTTTCATAACCAAATCTAAAACCTGTTTTAATGCACAATCATGTTGAGCCTCAGTGTCAACAAAAATTAAAATATCATCAAGATATATAAATACATTTTCAATACCTCCAAACACTTTCATATTCCATTTTTGACATATTTCAGCTGCATTATTTATTCCAAAGGAAGTCTATTAAAACAAAAAGTACCAAACATAGTACCAAACGTGCATATTTTAGAACTCTCTAAATCTAATTTTATTTGCCAAAAATCATCTTACAAATCAAAAACAGAAAAGACCTTTGCATTTTTCAGCTTTGACGATAAGTCTGATAATGTAGGGATTACACAATATTCACGAATTATATTTTCATTTAGATCGCGTGGATCAAGACATAATCTCATACTTCCATTTTTCTTTTCAACAATCACTAATCTATTTACTCACTCAGTCGGCTCATTTATTTCTCTAATTATTTTTTCTGACACTAATCGATGTAATTCACATTTCAACTTATCTTGGATACTAATAGGAACTCTATGTGGAACATTCGTAACAGGTATTGCATTAGGCTTTAATTGTATGCTATATTCATCGGGAAAGTTACCAAGACCTGTAAAAACCGTGCAATAATTCTCCAGTACATCATTACGACTTAATATCTTATCAACATTTTCTACTTTATTTATAAGCCCTAAATGTATACAGCTATGCAGACCTAAAATTGCCTTGCAATGATTATCAACAATTACAAAATTTAGAATATATTCTTTTTCTCATAATTTTACTTTTAAATCAACTATAAAATATGTATTAATGTTACTACCACCATATGCCTGTAAATTTATCGGTTGCCTATTAACTACTAAGTTTTTAAAAGGACAATTATTTTTAATTAAGTTAAAATCATTTAAGATCAGTAGATTAACATCAGAGCCAGTATCCAGTTTAAAATTAATACCTTTATTTTCAACAAGAATAGTCTCAGACCAGGAAACAGCCAAAGTATTCATTGTATATACCGTAGAACAAAAATAATTATCATTACTCAGCCCATCAACGTTTTCAACAAATGCAATCTCAGATTTACAAACACTTTGAAAATGATTAAATTTGTTACATTTTAAACATGTTTTACCATACGCAGGACATTTGCATTTGTCGTGTACAAAATTACAATATTTACATAATTTATCAGACCGATTACAATTATTATTCGTTTTTTTTATTATTTACAGAAATATTACCCGTATTTTTGAAAACCTGTGGTGACTCCTCCTGTTGGCTATATCCTTTTCCTTTTGCCTGTCGTTGATTCGTTTGACATTGACCACGATGTCCGTTGTTACCGTTGTTCTATTGAGCTTGATATGTACACTTACCACCACATATTTTTGAATGAACTGAATTTTGTTTTTCATCAATCTCCTTCATTTGATTGAGTTCTCTTCGTTGAATTTCAGCAATACGAAGAGTTTCTATTGCAGCTTCAAGAGTAACATCAGCTTGCTTAATTAACTTGTCGCGAGTCTCGCTATCTCTTGTGTCAAGAAAAATGTTGTCACGTAAAATTTCTTCATGAGATTTAAATTCACAATCATTTATCAAACCACGACACGCTAACAGGAACTCCTCAATAGACTCATTTGCTTTTTGAGACCGTTTATAAAATATATACCTGGAGTGTAGAATTTTTTTTTTTTTTGGTTTGCAATAATTTTGAAACGTGGTTAACACTTGATCAATTTTCTTATTGTCTTCGACGTTTTCAAACTTGAGAGTATTATACCTCTCTAGGCCCTCTTTACCAACAAGGTTAAAAAAATGGCCACCTGATTTTTGTTAGACGCTGTCGTTAGACCAGCCGCCTCAATGTAAATCTCGAACGCTTCACGAAAAACGCGCCAATTTTCTGACAAATTACCCGTTAAAACCAACGCATCTGGTTTATTGTACTCCATGGTTCAATAATTCAAAATTCAAATACACAATACACAATTTTCAGATCCTTCTAGACTGCGCCATGTTGCATCGTGGGAGGAGTGTGGTAGGTGAAAATAATGTGCTACGCATGAGTGCTAAAAGCAGACTGGTTTTATTTTTGTGTCAAAGCACCAAATGGCCAAACGAGATAACCATAATATATATCATGAACATATAGCCGCTATTCTAGATAACAAATATTATAAGTTATAGGCTATAGCTATATGTAACATTATATAATATATAATAGTAAAACTTTTCGCGTGCCATGGATTTGCCATCCCTGACTTATACATTGTAAATAAAAATAATGAATATTAAATATTATATTTTATAGTTTATAGTTTTATACCTTAAACAGTGGACGCATATGTAACATATGCGTGCGCGTACGAGTGGAAGAGTACCTTATCCCCAATGCATTTTATACTCGCTTATGAATAACGATAATTATTAATTTACTACTAAGTACTAATACTAACACACAAATCCTTAATAAACGCCCCACTCCTCGTTAAGTAATTTTTTCTATATACCTACATTACGATTAGATATCGATATTTTCAATATTGATATTAAATATATCATGATATTTGTACTTGATATCTATATCGAAAATAGTTTAAAAAATCTAACAATATCGATATCGTTTGAGACTCCTATTAATTAATAATTATTAATAATAGCTCATTATAAACTTTTGCCATTATCTGGTGCCTAAGGAGATGTAGAGATATCAATATTTAAATTTGTTTTCAATATCGCGGATAATTAAAAGATATCGATATTCAAAAAAATATTGTTTGAGAAGCGTTATATATAAAATTATATTTTTTTCATTTATTTTGTAGATTTTCAATCAGACATTTTCAAAAGACAGCAATTTGAATTCTTGATCAATGTCCTAAGTAAGTATTAACACATTTAATCTAACCTTTATTATGCACTTTATTTTGTTGAATGAAATAATATCCATTGCAGTTATTGTATTGTTATGTCCCGTTGGTTAGCTCCAATGGAAGACAAATATGTTCGTAAATAGGAATGTTTAACACAAAAAAACACAGCAACTGACGAACTATTTATATATTTTAATTTATCATAATGACACAGTATTAAGTTTTAATTATTAATATTAATGCGGACGACTTGCGTATGTTGTTTATACTTGACTGTACTCGACTGCCGGAGCTACATCGGCAGACCGATGACGACGGCTGTCGATGAAAATGCGACTCAGCATTTATGTACTTACTAACTAATAAGCAATACTTTATTACAAGAAGGGGTTCTTAACAGTATTATATTTATTTCATCTATCGTATCATATTGGATTGGAATTATTTTCAATGTACATCGATAACATTGGTAGATCTCAAAATCTATGATGGTCATTAGACATGCTGGAATCCAGTTCTACATCATCATTAATTCATTGAATATCTCGATTTCTAGATTTTTAATGACAAAGCTATTATATTATATTGAAGACTTTAAATTTATTACGTTGTTTCAAGACATCTCAAATTACTGTAATATTATTTAACTGATGATTTAATTAAACATAGATGATCGGTGTAATGAAAGAGATTATATCTAGTACATATTCACATTACAATTATGAACGGTGTAATATTATATATCACTATTTTTTTTTTTAATTCTTTAAAAAATACTTAAACGTTTGTAGTTAGATTTTTACTTAAATAAATTCTGAAAGGTTTTTTAAATAGCAATACAGTTATATTGAAATTTAAAATGTTATATTCCTAAAATGCACTAGCCATTACTTATACCGACAAATATAATATATTTTTGTTAAAAAGTAACAATTATTAATATAATTTAGGTACATTTAGGTAATTACTTCATTATTTTAACTAGTCTATAGAAGGTAAATTTCCAAAAAATATACAAGAACATGATATAATTTGTTCAAAACACTTATAAATTATAATATGACGAAAAAAAAGATAAAAACCAAACTTGTAAAATAACAATGTATGAGATTAATAAATGTGTGGTGGTCATCTCATCACGATCATTGTGGCTACCATCGTAACGGCACGACAATCAAAGCTATACTCAGGTCGGTCGAGCGGTGGCGTTGGTAGCCCCGTCGATTTACTGTCTTTTTTCCCCGGTGTAGCTTTCTTTTGTCGCGTCGTCCGTTCTACTCTCTGTACTATCGTAGCCGGAACTAAAACTAAAACTTAGTTTTGGCTGTGAGCTAAAAATGTGTTAAAGTAGTTCACATTTACATACGAGTGTTCATTGTTCAATCGATTAATTATAATTACCGTTTGAATTTATTATTTTTAGAAATAACTAAGATGACTAAGAAAGAATTCAAATCGTTCAAGCTCAGTAAGTTAATTTTATATAAAATCTGATCAAATAATATAATAAGATAAAATCTAATAAATGTATGTTCACCGATTGTATTTAAAACGTGTATTATTATCCAGATAATTCTGTTACCTATCACAACTGACCAACCATTATATAAATTATTTCATTTTTATTTTTTATTTTTAGGTTTGCCTAAACCACATGAAAATTATGAAAACTATATGATTAGAATTGAGTTACTCAGTAAGTTATTATAACATATGTAACATATGTAGGCTGTACATACAGTGTTCGGATTTATCTAAATAGTTAGGTTAGGTTATATATTTTATATTATTTTGATAAATAATTACAAGGTATCTAAACATTTATCTTAAATTAATATATCTATTACTAATATGGATACCTTTATCTAGATACATTTTGATCATCAGAATAATTCTGATAATTAATCTGAATAGTTAATCAAGTATTTTGCATACAAATTTATTAAAATTTTCATTTTAATTCTAAATTAAAGCTAATAAGTTATAAGATATACACAATATAATTTACAAAATTATAAAAATAACAATATTATTTGGTACTCGTCCAATAAGTGCTGTCTACCGCACGTTTGATGTTTTAGTATGCTATCTACCGAAAATATTTTAACTACCGTGTAGTTATGTTTACGGATTTCTGATCTCTCCGAGAAATGATTCAAATAGGTCTTCAGTTTGGTTTTGTAACGAGCGCCACCATTCTTCTTGAAGTTGGGATGGTAATATGTTAGCCGCTCTCCGTGTTTAATGTTATATCCATTTTTGACATGTCTCCAATGACTTTCTATAGTTTGTGTCTCAGCACCAGTTATTGGATCAATGAAATTTTTAGAATGATTAATCGTTTTATGGATAAACCCATTGTTCAAACACCATAACGGTTTGAATTTTCGTGCCATAGCATGTCGTTCATTGCGCCATGAACGTCTCGAACTTTCGAGAATTTTCATAACACTCCCCCCCCCCTCTATATCTCGGTCCTGATGACCGGTCTGTGACTCGGCTTTTGTAGTCTTGGCCTTTTACGCGCACTCGCGAGCGATACACGCTCCGCGTAATCTTCTCGCGTTGGTCGCCACGCGGAATTTGTGTATTGTTCGAGTTTTTTGCCGATTGTCGGCCATATTTTCCTGGGACGGATCGTCATTGTCATCGTGGTATAGCTGTGTGGTGTTACGTCATTGTCCGCAGACGTCAAGTTGACTATCCTGTAGCTGGTGATATTTTTTGTCTTTTGTATTGTATTTATTAATTATGTTTGTATTCTGATTAAGATTATACATCGTTTGTATGTTTTACGCCCTGTTTGTGCACCATTGCGTCGAGCGTCGAGGATTCGCGAAGACCACCGTCGGCACCCCCTCTTTTTTACCCCCACCGGTGACGCGCACCCGGCCACTCAGGCCGTCGATCGCAGTGGTGTGTGCTGAAAAACTTGTTTGTTTTTGCGTTACATGTTCGCGCTTGGCCGGCCGATAACTATCGCACCTGCGCCACCTTTCTTTCCGTGTGTATTATTTCCTAAGGCCGATTCTTTTTGGTACGCGATTGTCATCTGTCACTGTGTGATCCACGACTGTTGGTCGATCTCGTGTGTGTGTCACCGCATGTAGTGTCAACCCGTCTTTTTTTAGATATTGTCGACCTCGTGGTTACTTTCGCGGCCTTGCGTCCTTACGCCCAGTTTATCATGTCGGCTGATTGGTTGACAGTGGTATTGTGCCATCACCGTGCACGTGTTTCACGAACTCGCTTTTGTACGTGTAGTTCCTCTTCGAGTGCGTTTCCCGTACGTTAACCTGTTTCCGGTTTGCGATCACTCTGGTTTCGTTGGCGTCCACGTGGTTTTCACCCATGGTCCTTTTTACAAGTCTGTTCGTCGTGCGCGTCGCGTACGCCAGTAGTACCAACTTCGTTCCCGACACAAGCCATCCATCGCCACGATTGTTGTCCGTTGCGGTCTGCCGGTTGGTAGCGGTGCCATTGACGCTGCCATCTAGGAGTCAGGTGTAGCGATTATCAGTTGGACCCTTATCACCATCACCCGAGATAAGATTGTTTTTATTTACTTATTGTCTGTAAACCTTAATAATAATAAGTTTGGTTTGTGCCCAAGAGCTTATTATTAATTAATCTATCATTTCTTTGGCCTTTTGTTGTCCTTGAACATCACCAACTCCTCCTCTCACCATATTTCATAATCTTCAGAGCGCACGTTCACGAGTGTCGCGCGGCCGGCTGGCGATAAATATTTTTCAAAGGCTCCGCGACGGTGCGTTCAAACACCCCCATAAGGCGTTATTGTGAATATTATTTTTATTTATTTAACAAGGGCGCCCGTATTATTATTACTTTTTATTTTGTACTAATATGATTAATTATTTATTGTAATATTATTACGTACCCGAACTCGGGTACATCATCATATATCTGGTTTTTGTTTATTTATATATAATTTGAACAGTGATAATTATTACCTGGTCCTTTATTACGCGAGTCAGAGTTATCGACCACCATACTCGTAGGAGCGGTTCTGGCACAAACATCCATCTTCATTTGAAGTAGAATACGCTAGCCATTAATCGGAATATATAGTAGTACCATTAATTATAGAATAGTATTCTATATTCAATGGTAGTACCTTGTTCAACTTCATTCAATATAATTAGTATTTTTTATAGTAAGGTATTTCGATCACACTTTTCCTATACCTACTAAGATATAAATATAATATAATTTGGGTTTTGTAAAAGCTTAATTTAATTGCAAAGTGATGAAGTATATATAATATACAGCAACGGACATACAGTAGATAGCATATTGGACGAGTAGCTAGTATTTAAATTATATACATGTATATATATAATAACCGAAATTATTAGATACAATGTGTATTCTTTATAAATAAAAATATTAAGTGTACTATTCTAAGAATAAACGCTTGCAAATATTAGCATATTAATTATTAATAACATATATCTAATGATTTACGGATAATCATAAATTAAAAGTCACACAGTTAATATTTTATCTATATTTTAATAATTTATAGTTGAAATTATGTCGAATTTACTAAATGATAATTGTTATTATTATTAGTGATGGAAATAGATAATGCAAAATTTATCTAGATAAAGATGTAGGGGTCAAAGTGGGTTTTATAAATAAGAAACTAACACTTCTTTCCCGTTAAATTGAAATTTGTATTTTATTAAATTTTATTAAATTACAACATTGAGTTATGCACCGCGCGGCTGGTTCGGGTGTACTGGTTAGTGAGTAGACAGACAAGTTTAGTTAGATATACTACTATCGATCGAGTGAATTATCGGATACCTGTATAATAGTGTAATCGTAATCACACTCGTCGACAGCCGATCAATAATAATAATAATGATTTTAGTCCGGCAATACTGAACAAAAGATGAAAAACAATATGTCCAAATTCATCTAGATAAAGATAAAAGATAATTTCATTTTTATCTGGATAAAAAAAAAGATATTTTCAAAAAATGTTATTTTTTTGGTCAATATTTCAAATTCTAATAATATCTATGAAAACTCAATTATAATCATTATTATCAATAGGTACCTAGGTGTTTAATGTTTATTGTAGTAATGTAGGTAGTGTACCATTAAGTAGTATTAATATATAATGTACAATATTTAATGATAGTCACTAAAATTTTCTACAAAAAAAAAAAAAGTGAAATTTGCTCTGTACGTATCAAGATGAATACAGAATACATAAAAAATATTTTAAGTTAATAATATTGTTTTCCATATAATATTAATTTGATGATTTTCATCATTCTATAAGTAGTTACGACTTTACGGGTTCCAAGAGGGAAGTAATGACTATTCAGCGTATGAGTGACATGTTTATATTAAAATCAAATACCCATTATATTTGGAACTTCCGTGAAAAAATAAGAAATGAAGTTTAAGAATACCAAAGAAATTTAACCAACATGAAAATTCAAACAAAATGTCATACCAAGAAATAATAATTACTTATTAATAATACACAAATTATGATTATGAATACAAAATCTATATGTATAAAAGAAAGTCAAGTTATTTACAGAAGTTATAATTCAAGAACGGCTGGACCGATTTTGTTGATCTCTGATTTGTTGGATTCGTCTCCGTACAAGATTAAAAATAACTCTAATATTGACAAGAATACAGACAATAAAATTATCTAGATAAGTAAAAATTATATCTTAGATAAATAATTAGATAACTTAGCGTTATTTATCTAGATAAGATAAAAGATGACAAAAATTTATCTAGATAAGACCCAACACTGATTATTATAACGTTATTAGGCTGGAACTCGATTGAGCACGATTGATCTTTTTCGTAACCCAATTGAGCACGGTTGCAATCAAACAATAGGAACCAAAAAAGAACCAAAAAACCACACGATTGAGCACAAAAAGGGGTGCGACGTTACTGCTTTATACCGTAGAATATTATTCGGTGCACCGTATTACTGTGAATTCAAGATTTTTTTTAATTATTATGTAATTCAATTTTAGATTTGTAATGGTTATTTCATAATTTAATATATTTACGGCTCAGGTTTCCTAAAAGAAATAACTCTCCAATAAAAAAACCACAAGACATCTTTTTTTTCGCATTTTTTATGTTGTTGTTGTATAGAGCTCGATGCATCATATAATTATTACTATTGTTACAAAATAAAATACGTTTGAATATAATTATTTATAGTTAAAAATCTTTTATTGAATTTTAATAACATGTTATAATTACATTTTTTTTCTTTGCTAAAAAATAGCACTTATACAATTGTCATGAAAAAGATAAAAATTTAAATTTTTTTCCCTAAATACTTATTTTCAACTTTCAATAAGTATTTAAGTAGGTTGTCAGCATTTTTAATTTCAGGGTACTCACGATAAGCCTTTTAGCGGTATTTTTAACGCACGGTTAAGTCAAGGTGCACGCGACAGTTTTCGAAATATCGCGCCATAATTTTACTGCGTGACACTTATGTGTTGTGCTCTATTCATTTTAATGTACTTTAACAAAACGCACAGTAAAATTACGGCACGGTAAAAATGTCGCGCGATAAAATAACGCTAGTGTGTTTCCAGCCTAATAATTAGTTTTCAATCTGACAACGTTGTACACAATATTTTTTTTTTACTGTGTTCAATCGGGTCGTCAAAAAGGTCGGCTGATAACGACCGTGCTCAATCGGGTATCACAGCGTTATTAATATTAACATTTAATTTCAAAACTATGGTATTCAACTTTACCTGTTCTTTATTCATTGTTTCATTAGTAAACAATGACTTAGAAATTCATAAACACAATTGTTTTACATATAATATTTGAGCTATATAAATTTGCTATTATGCTGTAAGACAAGAGCGAATAAAATAATAGTAAAAAAAAACTGTCGTGTAAAATTTGCACTCGTTTAAAAATTATATCCTTTTTTTATTTAGATAAAAAAAATGTTTATCATTATACTTATATCGTTCTACTTGATTTTTTTTCTAGATACATTTGAGTTCTTTATTTTTAACTAATCCGAACACTGTATATAATACTCTTAATTTTAACACAATAAATCATTGTTACTAAAACAATAGCAAGTATCTCCTCGATACTGTTTAAATAGAAAAAGACAATACCACGTAACTTTTAGAGTTGGAAAAAATGTTATCAAGATAATTATTCGATTAAATATGTATTTGAATAATTTGAAAACATTATTATTCGATTAAAAAATTATCCGAATTATTTTTCGATCATATCATTCGATTCAAATATTATTCATATTACAATATTATAAAATTATTATTATTATTAATATATCTAACCCTTCACTATCTTCTATTTATTTATATTTGTTTTTTATATAATATTTTTACATTTTTCCGAATAAAGATTTATATCATACAACTTATGTCAACTATTGTTATATTAAAATTAGTTTTTTGTCACTCCTGAAAAAGTCACTATTTGAAAATACATAGTATTGTTTTGGCAATGCTAACATTGAGTCAACTTCCATTTAAAATTTTAAATAATTTTGAAGCTTATAATATTTATATTTAAATAGTTTTGAATAGTTTATTATTATTTAATATTACTTAAATTTAAAATTGAATACTTTTCTCGAATATTATATTCACATAAATAATTTGAAGTAAATTCAATTAATTTAATAGTTTTTTATATTTGTGGTTAAAAACATTAATAAATCGAATTATAAAAATATGTAATGAATAGAACTAGAAAAGTAACTCAAGTTAGCAATTTTCAACATAAATTATTCTATTTTATTTCACATTAAAACATTTTACTAACTTAATATTATATTTCTAGAAATGAATGGTTTTAAAGGAATACAATATATATTTCCTGAGGATCTTTTTGATGATATAAAAATGAGTAAGATACTAACATTTAATTATTTGTTAACTCGATAACGGTTTGCCCTTTTTCATTAAGATAACATTACATAAAAAGTGAAATGTTTTAAATATACATTGACGTGTTATCACGTGGTGCATGTGAAAATGTATAAATATTTATTGATAATTAAAAAATAAAAATAAATATATGTAATTTGAAAATAGCAAGTAACTTTCTACAAATAACTCAAAATTTACCAAAGTATTATGAGAATTATACCATATACTCATCAACAATTTTAGTTAAAATTTTGGGTTTATAAGATTATTATTTTTTCATGACAATAAAATAAAATTATACTGTGTCAAAATTGGTATCCATTTAATGCTAGTTTTTTAAATTTTCCTCAGATTATAAATTATTTGGAAACATTTTAAGAACTTTAAAAAATGACATCCTGAATATATTATTTAAACAAAATTTGATATAAAAAACTATACCTATTTTTAATGATTGAAGCAATAATTCTAGTCAAAAGTATGTAGTTGGGGCAGTTAGTCTAAATTTTAATTATTCTTGATAATCAAATAATAATATATAATAATTATTAAATATAAAAAAAAATATATAATAAATTTATCATTATTATTATTTATTAATTAATTAATTTATTTATTTTGTAACATTAATTTTCAATATAATAATTTGTTTTATAAAATATAATATGTGTATATATTTACTACGTTTATTTATACTTAGGCAGTAAGCTAAAAAAAACCAATATTACAAAATATAAATATAAATACACGATGTAGGTATTAATATTGAGTAGGGTACCTTTGGAGTTATGGAAAATTACTAAAGATACCGTCGGAAGATTTTCGCAGGCTGGAACACTATCGTTTGTTTATGTAATAATTATTTCATGCATTTTTTATCCGTTTAGTGCAATTTTTGATAATAAACACGAAATATTATACATTATAATAAATGATAATTCATTTTATTAAACTTGACAAAGAAGAATATTTTCTGAAATAAAATCATAACAATGTTAAAAATTACTATCGAAATATGTGCTATCAGTGAGCTAAGAAATATACTTTTTGAGTATTTTTTACTTAAAAATTTTAGGTAATGCGGCGCCTCATTTGCCTCATCCTCAAAACCGCCGCTGCGTAACGGTGAGTTGCGTATCCATAGCCATTGTCGGCGGTGATGATAAACCTCCGTATGCGACCGGTCGGATACGTAATTGCATTGTTATTATCGCGTGTAAATGTTCGTTATTTCCACGTTTTCATATCATTCCAGTTGTGTTTTCGTGTAATTTCCAAGTCATGTTCTCAGTGCCACAAAGTTTCATAAGTTTCTCGAATCTTAGTTTTAGTTTGGTGACACTAAGGCATTTTATCGTCAATATGGTGTCCGATAGCTGTAACTTTCATGATAGTAGGGTAATTTGGGGCTTATGGGTTTCCTCCCCCTTAAAAAGTCCTCCCTAGCAACCCGCAATACACTAATAATTTCTCCCTTAGAATGCAACCCTCAACACAGACAAACTTAACAAAAACTATGACCCTCCTTTAAAATACTATTATTTTCAATTATTAGACACAACCTTCCTCTTATCGTACAAAGACAAACCTAAAAAAAAACCCAGAACCCTCCCCTTAAAATAATATTTTTTCAATGACAAAACACGACCTTCTCCTTACCACACACAGACAAACTTAAAAAAATGACCCTCCCTTAAATTAATATTCTTATAAATGTCAAAACACGATCTTCCCCTTACTGTATACATACAAACCAAATTATGACCTTTTCCTTATAATACACCCCACAACACATACAAACTTAACAAAACCCATGAACCTCCCCTTAAAATTATATTATTTTCATTGATGAAACACGACATTACCCTTACCCAACACAAACAAACCTAACTATAACCCTCCTCCATAAACAGTGTTTTCAAACCACACGCCACACATGCATTTCCTAAATACACCTCAAATATTTAAGTATTCAAGAAGAATATCGAAGATTGTTTTAACTATCATAAATTCCTCGAATCTTCAAAGGATGAATTAATAAATTTACTTAAATCGTTATCAGTTAATTCACCCAATCAAATATAATCTAAAACTGGGAGCTACTTATAAAATATCACATGTAGATAACTCATCAGAAAACAGAGCATTCAAAACCATAGCAAAAGATATTTTCACGGATACAGATATAAGAAATGTGATCGAAAAAGATTTTACAAGACTTCTTCAAAAAGAAAACGAATATATTGGTAAAGGAAGTGGTTTCACACTCCAATGCATCGATGGACTGCTTCTAGGTGTATACAAATATATACCTATAGGTGGATCGTCATACATAAAATTACTTGACGATATCAGAAACAAAAAAGCAGTAATTAGTCTACAAAATACAGACCAACAATGTTTTAAATTGGTAATACTGACTAAAAATATCGATAAATATCGTAATCAAACCATGTTTATAGATGAAGAACATTTTTCAGGTCTTAAATTTCCAACACCTACTACAGATATAAAAATATTTGAGCGGAATAACTTGAATGTTTCAATAAACATGTATGATCTGAAACAAAATAAGAAAAATCACATTATTTACCCATAAAGAGCTGTGGATGAGGAAAAATCAGATCATTTCGATCTCTTACTGATTACCGATAGAGATAAAAGTCACTATACATACATTTTAAATTTCTCACGCCTTGTTAGAGCACAAAAAACATATCATAAAGAAAAAGTTCTTTTCTGTAAGAGATGCTTCACATCATTTGATAATCAACCTCTTAAAAATACACTATGTGGACAAGCAGCACTAGATCAACACAATCTGATATGCGAAGTACACAAACCAATTTTACCTCAGATGCCTGCGCCCGGTACAATGCTAGAGTTTGATGGGTGGAGTAAGACTCAACGGCATCTGAAAGTCATTTCCGCAGACTTTGAAGCACTTATAGTAAAATGTATGGAAAACAAAGGCAAGAATACGTCGACTATTCAAAAGCACAAACCAATGAGCTATGGAATATTTGTAAAGATTACAGAAAACGTTCCCATAGATCTGCTAGAAAAATTCAATGTACTACAAAAACCAATTATTTTTTGTGGTAATGAATCACACCAAGACGTAGCCAAAAGTTTCATGAAAGAAGTTACCGAGATTGCAAAAAAAGTTGACAATTTACTTAAAAAAAATAAACCTATAATAATGACTGAAAAAGAACAAAGATCACATGTAATGAAAATTACTTGCGATTTATGTAAGTGTATTTTTTCCGAAAAAACCATTAATTAGTAGATAACTGCCATTTATTAGGGAAATTCAGGCATACACTACGTAACATCTGTAATCTAAAGTTGCAAAAACCAAATTTCGTCTCATGTATTCTACACAAATTAACAAATTACGATGCTCACTTTATAGTGACAGAGTTAGGATACGACACAAACCTAACCACAGTCATTCCAAACAGAGAAGAAAAGTTTATTACATTTTCCAAATACGTTTCCAACAAGTTCACAATACGGTTTATAGATTCTTGCGGTTTCATGCCTTCAAAACTATCAACACTTGCAGAAAATTTAATAAGATCTGGGTTCGAGAAGTTCGGAGAAACAGCAAAAGCATTCTTACTCAGAGATATGGATCTCGTTACACGAAAGGTTGTATACTTTTACGAATATAAAGAGAGTTGGGAGAAATTGGAAGAGATGACACTGCCAACGAAAGAAAATTTTTACTCGACATTGGCAGAGGAGCATATAGATGATAAGGAATACGGTCATGTAATCACAATATAGAACCAGTTCAAATGCACAACCTTGAGAGAATATTTAGACTTTTATTTTAAAATTGACGTGCTGTTGTTGGCTGACGTATTCGAAAATTTTAGAGACATTAGCATTTCTACGTACAATTTAGATCCTGTTTACTACTATACAACTCCAGGTTTTAGTTTTGACTGTATGTTAAAATATACCAAAGTCAAACTAGAATTGCTCTCTGATTATGAAACCCAACTATTTTTTGAAAATTTAATCCACAGTGGTCTCACACAAGCCAGTATGAGGTACGCCAAAACTAATAATGAAAATACTTCGGATTATGACGAGACTAAACCGAAATCATGGCTAGTGTATCAAGATTGTAATAATTTATATGGATAGGCAATGTCACAATTTATACCATACGGCGGGTTCAAATGGGTAGAGCCTACGCTAGTTGGTTTAAAGGCATTGGCAGTTACATCAGATATAGGTAAAGTGTATGAAGTGGATATATTGTATCCTCAAGATTTACACGATGAACACAACGACCTTTCATTTTTATCCTAACCCACCTTAGGCATATTATTATATTTATTCATATTTGAGCCGCAGTAGACATATTGTTATTACTATTATTAAACTTGTGTCAATACTTATTTATTATATTTTTTGTATTTTCTGCGTTAATCAGACAACTTAATACCATTTATATCCATCTATTTTATTAGTTATTTATTTATTTGTTCAATTATGTATTTCTTTGTTTATTGTTATCGTTTTATTATTCTTTGTTGTGCCAATCAGGCAAATTATTTATTGATCATTATTTATCAATGTAGTTTTATTTTTCATTTTAATACTACATTTTTACACACCAACTCCTGATATAATGGCCAAAGGACACACTGTTTAATGTTGACTGTATCCGAGAAATGAATAATGTGTTTCTTAACTCTAAAATTATTCTGAAATAATTTATTTTCAATCTAAATAGGCATGTTATTGATATAACAAAACTCCTTTATAGCCTAGAAACTCACAGAATGTATAACTTAATTTCAAAAAATGAAAATATTTTACTTTTATATTAGATTCTAAGCATAACGGTGAATGTATAAGTTTATCAATATACAATGTTATAATAACATATTTATTGTGTTTTACATTTGCAAGACTAGCTCGAAAAATTATTATATTTTATTTTTTCAATGTACTTTTATGTTTTTAAATTATACTATAAATATATATGTTTAGGTTACCCTAAAGCCGATGAATTTATCTCTGTATATAAAACGAGATTGATATCATATGATTGTGAGTTATTTTAAGCGTTAAAATAGTAAATAAATGTTTTTCATCACGTATTATTTATTTAGATGAATGCTATGTGAAAAATGTTGCACAATTCATTCAGGGTAAGTCATTTTAACTTTAACAATAGTAGTGGTGGTTTTGTGATTCAATTTTAACTGAGGCGACTAAATATTAACATACATATATATATATAAAAATTATAACATTAAAATTGTAGCAGTATTGTTTTCTAAACGTTTAATCTCCAAGTAGCTGTGAATATGTTTTTTTGATGACTCGTGAAATTTTACACGTTTTTAAAATTACAACCAGACAGATTTTGATTGACCTAACAATATACACGGCTAACAAAATAACGCTTGTTTGTAATAGCTTCCACAAAGCCATGAATCCAAATCATACCACGCAGGATTAAACAGTCGACATAATATTTTGCCACCTTTTTTGTCAAGGATTGGCACGACAAAAAAGGAGTTGGCTTGCCTTTCCTAATCATATCCTTTTTATGAATATTATTCCAACGCATAAAAGGTGTTTCAAGTAACATCATTACTGGATCATTTATAGGATCCATACTTTCAGAATGTGACGCAGTGACAAGTCACGTGTACTATAATGTAATATACAGTATAGTAGTATACAACAACAATATAATCGTTAATCGTTGTAGCTTTGCATACAAGAACCAATAAGACTTTTATTAAATTAACAACGCACACGCAAGGCCGCCCACAAAAATTTTTCTCAGAGGGGGGGGGACAACGAAAAAATAATACACCTATCTACCATAAATTCTGTTTTTTATCACATCGTAAAAAAAAATTATTAATTTACTATAATATAGTAAGTATATACATATATATATATATATATATGATATATATACTGCCATCGATTTACTGAAAATCTATAACAATCAATTAACTAAAAGAAGAACAAATATACTTTCAAAATTCAACTACCTGACTGGCATATTTAACTTTCATTTTTGCCAAATTATTAAGTTCTAAATGATTTTTATTAATTTTAGGACACACTTTAATTAATTGTTGGGAATCATAGTTAAATAGATTTTCATACATTTTCCATTGTATATGAGGCTTTTGTGGATGTATCTAAAAATAAGCGTTAAACTTGTGGAATTAATTTTGTAACTCAAATAAAGTTTTTTTAATTCATCTTCTTTAGGAACGCCAAAAAGAGTTTTAGACACATTATGTGACTCACGAATCGCACAATAATTATGCATAATGACCAAAGGCAATAAACGTAATAGAAAATTCACAAAACCAATAACCAATCACAGACTACAGTGAATAGTGATGAGATTTCGACATAAAATAATCATATATATAGACCACAAGAGCAGTGAATCTTGATTATAATTTAGTTATTAACTCAATTATATTTATAATTGAATATTCAATAATTTAATATTTTGGCGGGATATGGGCATATAATATTGTAACTCCAATTAACAACCGCTGTGAGCGTTAGTAGTAGTTCACTTTTTCGTATGTTAGATAAGAACTCTCGTACACTGCGGTTTAACATTGCGTAGTATACGCCGATGTGTAGCCTTTCTATCTTAAACTGTGGTCATCACTATGACTTTATCAATTAAAATCACAATAATTGTATATGGACCATAGAGTTGATATGATATGAATCTATAACCACGATTAAAACAAATAAACCAAATACCGAATACCTAATGATATTGAAAATTGACGAACAATTTTGGGTCAACTTATCAGTAATCAGTCCTCCTTATCTTCCTCTTAGACTGTTAAATAAAATGCAAATAAATTCAATAAAAATTAGATATTATCTAAATTAGCGGGGGGGGGCGTGGCCCTCCCTCCCCTGCGGGCGGCCTTGCGCAAACGAATAGGAAACACAGTAGTACAGTACCACAATCTACGATTAGGAGATAAAAGTGATTAGTGGAATATAGATAGCAGATAGACGACAATACAAGCACAGACTATGATTAACAAGTCGATACGAATAGAAGATAACTACAGTGTTGTAATTGTACGTCGTTTAGCTGATTTTTACGCGGTGTCACCAACACTAATGATAATTCAATAATTATTTTGTACATTAATCGTGTACTTTTTCGGCCGAGCCAATGTTTACATGTCGCCTCAATCGTCGCCTATGGAGTGGATGTGAGAGCATGTGCTATGCGTACAACGCGTGTGCGTGCGGGATCGTATTATTTAGTAATACAACTACATGTGAGAGGAACCGTCAGCGGTTGCTTTTACGGATACGATCGGAAGATTACGAGATCAGTCGTCACCAAAACAACAAAATCGCCTATAATTTTAGCCTTAAACAACCTGTGCCTCGTGATCCGTACACCCGTATAAACTGATACCATATTTTTAATAACTATTAACTACAGAATAATGTTTGTATTAAAATCTAATATTCTGTTTTGGCATTTTTCTATGATAAAATTCTGAACATTAACAATATATTGTACAAATTAAAAAACAAAAATGTAATATAATTACTAATGTCTAATTTGTTTAAAAAACATATTCCTATTACTAAATTTTTAAGTGATGCACCGCCTCACTTGCCTCACCACCAAAACCACCACTTTATGATAGGTTATATATATAGGCGTAAGTAAAGGGGGGGGCTTGGAGAGGCTGAAGCCCCCCAGAATTTTTCGAAGCTCCTCCAAAATTTGTTGGGTAAATATATGTATCTATAAACCTATATAATAGTAATTACTTTATTTTTCTTACAATATTTAAAAATATATTATATTTCTTGTAAACGAATAATAATTAAAGAGTCAGTTGTAACCATTAATAAAAACATAAATGGTTTTATCATAATTAAGTCATAAAAACAAAAATTAGGTACCTATATCATATGTTAGTTATACCATTGATTTAAAAAAAAATATATATATATTATAAAATCAATGGTCATACCGAGGTATCCTTAAATCGGCGGTGACGAGTAATTCTAGAAGTTGGCTGCCTAAGTACCTTCTTGGACATAGGCAAAACTACGGGTCAGGAAAGTCAGACCATGGCCTAACCTGACCTAATAATAACGAAAAAAAATGTATATATTATATATTTTAATAATTAGGCATTATAAATAATATATTTATACATGTAAACGTATACATTGTTCAAAAATTATACAAAATTGAAAATTAAAATATGCAATTATTCACATTTCATTATTTATTATTAATATTTTAATATAATACACTTACACATAATTTTTATATTTAGAAATGGTTAGATATTAATATTGAATCATTGGAAGGTGAAATGTTACTAAGAATTGTAGGTGCTGCTCTTATATGCGGACTACCGACATGTTTTGGCTCAAGTATGCGGTCTACCTTGTATGATACCTATATTATAATACGCCATGTTTATATTTTCATAATTATAATATATGTTTTTTTGCTCAAATTTGAAAAATATAATGTAATAATAATAATATGTCTACATAAAATAAATGAAGAATCTCAATATATAAAAAATAAATAATAATTTTAGCGATAAACTATTTTAATATCCCTCAGAAATGCTATAAATATATCAGGTTCGTCTTTGGAAGCAACTTTCCAACAATAATGATCCAGATGGGATTGAAGTAGTTATTTAGTTATATCTCTCATTGTTTTCATGATCTTTATCTTTGCATCCAGCCATGTTCTCTCTATGCTTTGAGTGTGAGCCCTCGTCGAAGGATCCGCGCTGATGGTTGACCGTTTTATGAATATATCTGCTATCACTTAAACATCTATAAGCCGCCCATTCATCAAAGTGAATAACAAAACCAGCTTCACATTCTTGCTGTATAATTTGAAGTAATGTATTTTTGTCTTTTCAAAGTACATAAAAATATCGGCAGTCAGAACTTTTTTTTTAGACCAAATACCCAAAGTCCATCTACTCTTTATCCATGATTTCTATCGTTCTGGAATTCAATGTTACTGTCTTCCGATGTCACCATTGAATAACCAACCTCGATTACATTTTTTCTTTCTCTTTTCTAGCCTCGTCAATTTGTTTTTGATCAATCTCAATTTCCAACATCTTTGGCGGTTTGTGAACAACATTTGAACATACTTCACAACACATATTAAACCAGTCAGTAACTATCCCTCGCCCTCTTCCTGTTAAAGTGGCCGTTGTTCTCAAAGAAATATCCGATAGGAAAAAAAAACTAATTTTAAAATTTCGGTATGTTTGAGATTTCTGTTAACCCTATTATTCAGATCCTCGTAATGAAAAAACTTGTTACCCTGTTGTATAATACGCGTGGTCTAACACCCTTTTTTTTGCACTGAAGGACAGGACGAATGTCACCTCCTCAATCTCGTTTTCTAACACTAACCATTTCAGAACCACACTTATGATATGACAATGTTTCTTCCGCAGTATCTAAAAATGCAGTGACATTCTCTTCACTCTTTGCGAAGTCAAATAAAAATCTATTATTTGCATAATGCATACGATATACAAAACGAATACAAATACAAAGAAAGTACAATACAATCGATGACCAATACGTAACTAACAAACTTATTAAATTCGTTATAATTTCGCACAGTAATAGTACGTTGTTTTGGTTTATCAACAACTTTTAATAATAATAAACATAGTTGGAAAATATAAGATATGACATATATCAGAACATTTTATCTGACCAATTTTATTTTATCTTTTAATGGATATACGTGTTTATTAAATATTTTTTTTTCTGCTACGATATGCGATCTACATTTATGATGGTAGACCGCACGCATTTGAAATCCACATATTAGAACAGCACTGAATAGTATTCAAAATTTTGATTCAACCCTTAGTGGTGTGTTACAAAAAATAGATTATAATGTTTTTACAGACCTATATAAATTCATGTAAGTTGCTTTCACTCTTCCCATCAGCTCTGTTTCCTGTTAACGTTCTTTCCTCATCAAAAACGTGGATTCGATCTAGTAAGAACCAGAAAAGATTTACAGATATGTGCATCTTACATATTGAAAAAGTTTTTTCAAATAATATTAGATCAGAGAATATTTCAAATGAATTTGATTTGAAGAATAAACGTTTAGATCTGTAATGTTCATAAAATAATATTTTATTATATTATATACGAGTATATTTATTATGTTTTTGTAATTTTTTATCTACTGTTATTATATGAAAATTATAAGTTTTAGTTTTATTTAGTATATTGTTTTGAAGGTGCATATAAATATGCAATTATATTACTAATAAAGAATTTTTATGTATTATTAATTATTACTCAATCTAAATTATACTTATTATATTATGCAAATTTATAAATGTATTAATTGGTGTTATCATGTTTCGAAGTAATTTATGTAAATTAAATCTTAAAACTGTGATAAGGCAGTTATGTCGCTATACATTATTTTGCTATAAAAAAAATGTTAAGCACTTCAGCCCCCCCCCCTAATTTAAAGACCTTGTTACGCCTATGGTTATATATAATGTACCAATAAGATTTTGATCTATAATTACTATAGTTAGATACATTTAAAATATTATACTGTTTAAATGATAGTAAATTATTGTTTTGAAATTGTTTTCAGATTTTGAAGAGGTGATAACGAAATCGTTAGAACACATGTTTTTTAACTACTTGTAATGGATTCATCTCAGAATACACGAAATACTAATGAATTAAACTATAAATATAATTGTTGTCATTGAACTACTGAAATAAAATTCTTACAGAAGCAAATGTTTAATAGTATTACATTGATTATTATGTGTAATTAAATAATTTATGATTACTACATTTTTTTTTTTTTTGTATTCAATTATCTTTAAAACTACGATAAAATAAATTGCATTAATTGCATTCATTAACATGACATGTGTAAAAAGGTTGGTCCAAAGTAACTTACTTGTTATTACCATTCTATAGTGATTGAAAGTCGAAATAAAGTAATTTTTTGTAAAATTCAAATCGAAAAAAAACATAATACCCATATTTTTACATTGAAATATAATAGATTAAATACAATGTGAATGGGGTATATAAATATCATACTAGTACAGGTATAGAAAAATAAATATCAAGATTATATATGTCATCAATAATGAATAATTAAAAATAATTATTGAACTTTAAAAAAAATAATGACGTTTTAAAAATTGTTAAACGTGAATTGTACTATCCCTGAGTAAAAATATCTCAGATATTTCATTGACTTGAGTTTTTGAAATTCAAATATTATTTTTGAGCACGTATTAATTAAGGAATAAATATAATCACGAACTTAGTAGGGTTCCAAAAACTCTCAACCGCTAATTAATAAGGAAACAAAGGTTTTCAAGTACACAAATCGGTTTCTAATAATATGTACCTAATTATGTGACCGACCATATAATACGATGCATAATCAGCTGGTAGGTAAACGAAAATAAAACAGATCCCTATACATTTGTTGCAAACGGTGAATTTAAATCTCATAACCGAATTTAATAAGCCGAATAAGCCTGGCTCTACTCGATATTTATTTCATTGGTTAGATTTTAATTTCTAACATGTGTAAACTTTATTTATTAAAATTAACAATTTATCATAAGAGGACAATATACCGGTTATTATATCTAGTAAAAACATGTTTACGGAAAACCAACGAAAATGCCTTTTTAAGTAATTTTAGGGTAAAAACACCTATTATACAATTGGTAGAGAATAACATTTTTATTGAACCTCATATGCGTTTTGAAAAATATTCATTAGAATAAAAGTTACAATGATTTAAAAAAAGTAAATAAATGCTTTTTTCTATTTATCATAGAGAACTATTCATTTGGAATAATGAAAAACCCCTATGAGGTTCACTCTGAAATATTGTACTTTACAAATAAAGTAATAGGTATTTTAACTAATAAATCACTTTTAGAGGCCTTTTTGTTAGTTTTCTGTAAGCATATTTTTTGTTATTCGATTTTATTTTATACCTGTCATATCTATCATAAACGCAGAGCTGTATTAGCTCATAGGCACTATAGGCACTGTGCCTAGGGCATACGAAAATATGTGGCTACGATTTTTTTGTAGTATGCAAATTGGTATAAAAAAATTTTTTTTAATTATTTTCGACATTTTATATTATATATGTTTTGGATTAAAATGAATTTTTTTTAACATATGTTAAAACTTTTATCGTTTAAAAATGTATAATAGTTATCATATAAAAGTTTAGATTTAATTTTTATGTTGTAAATATTATTTTTTTTAAAAGCTTAACACTGCATGAGATTCAATACTTCCTCTCCCAAAGAGGTTTCTTAATCATTTAAATACTGTACAACGGCCCTGCAAGTATTAAGGGCCTAGGGCCTTTGATAGTGTTAATTCCGGCTTACCCAAATGTGGTATATTTTTAGGGATATAATGCTCAAACGTGTTTTAGCCCCCAAAACATGATGATTAGGGCTCGGAAGTTGATGCATTTTGCATTCTTTTTCAAACTTTTTAGAAGATGCTATCCTGGCCACAAATGTGTTTCATTAACATGTGAATCCAAATAACTAATTTTTATTTTGCATTTTTTTTGCATTTTTTTGGTATTTGTTACTTTTTAAGTCATTTTTTGGCATTTTTAAGTAATTTTTCCACATTTTTAGTCATTTTTTCTGATTTCACACTAGTTTATTTTTTATTGTTTCTTACCGACCATTATGCCGATAACTTAAGACTTGTCCGATTTTATCTTGTCGATTACATTCGTCGTTGTCATGTTGTAGTGAATAGCATTATACCATGTAACGTTCAAGAATCGATACGTAAAGTTATGTACGTTGCGAATACCTATGTGCTGATTATTATTATTTTATTACTCCAACATACAGCCGCGGTTCGCAGACAATGTTAATGCTCGCATATTCCCCTCCGTTAGTACCTCAATATTGTTCAAATGATAAATATTATCGGCCAATAAAATTATAATTTTATCACTTTAAAAAAAAAAAAAAACATCGTTTGAGTCTCCGTGGGCAGCTAAGCTCCGGAGAACGAGGACTTTGTCCATCACTGTCCAACTACAACACCTTTGTCAGCCCAGCAGCCTCAGTAGCGCTGCTGTGGACTTAAAAGATTATTGGCTGTTTTTTTTCAAATATCGGGATGTGTGGCTAAGGTCAATCCGTCCCCGTCGTTGGAAAACTTCTCTCGCGAACGGTAAAAAATATTTCGACCATTTTTATTAATCGCCTTGGCCGTCAATATTTATTTATTTTAATTATTTTCTTTTTAACTTTATGATTATTATGTTTTAGTAGGTACGAAATATTGTCGATTATTATTGACCAATATTTTCGTACATTATTATGTTTTATCAGTATTGTAGTTTATTAATTATTATGTTTTATCCCCTGATTAACGTTCTTTGTGTCGCTATGGCGTTCCTCTCAGGTACCTATATTTTTTATTTAAATAACTTTAATTCGCAATTAGACCATGCCCGTTGCATATAATATATATACATATATAAATATATTTTTTATTTGACTGTCTTAAAAGAATAAGTATTGTTATAAATTTACCCTGGGTGCTAGTCCATATATTTCCCAAATTCGTCGGGTTATTTTGTAGGCCAAACTACGGACTTTTTGTAAAACAACTGATCTGCAGTCGCAGTTTTGTGACCTCCCCTTCTAATATTATAATTAATGGCGTGGCAAACCATTCTTCCGACTGTCTCCGAGTTATAAAATTTACGAACATGAAGATCCACATTTTCACCGTCCGTCTCTCCGGATAGCATTGCAAAGTAAACCGTTTGACTCTCGTATGAAAATCATAAGTCATTCGATAAAGATTTTTTTTTTTAGTTTAATGATCCTTCAATGGATTCTATCTTATATACATACATTTGCGCCGACACTTCCCAAACTCCTTCCTTGGATGTTCTTTGATTATTTATAATACTATGTTTTATTAAAATGTACATCTCGGTCATGTAGTTTATATTATTATATTTTGTATATGCGATATGGCGATTTGTGTCTCGGTCATGAAATGTTTATTATTATAATTTATTTGTATTTTATTATATTGATCCCTTATATTTTTTCTCTTTTGATATTATCAGCGAAGTCTTATACCATTCGGCTTTTCTTTAATTAAATTAAACTTAATTTTTTCCCTTTTAACTAATACGAAGACAAAATAACTCATAATAAAACTCTTTTCTTTACCCCAAAAAACAACAGTTATTCTTTATTCATAATACCAATTTTTTTATTGTGACCTATGTATCCTTTTCTAGGACATAAAGAGTGTAGGATAAAATCTTACAACTCCGGCAGAAATGTCTCGGCTGTAAGTCGGCAGGTAGGCGTGCCTGTCGACGTGCACTCGTCCTCTTGGAGCCCATTACTACGGCGCCACCATTCAATAGGTATTTCCTAGGAACCCTCAACGGGTGAAGCGGGGGCGGGACGCCAGAACCAACATTTTATTATTTTTTCCTAATATTTGATTAGTATCCGATATTATCTCGTCGCTTCATTGACATGTTATAGTTAATAATATTTATTTCTAAATTTTTTTTATTTTTTCGTAATATTTTCGAAATGACGAAAATTAAAACATCGGTTAGTGCTCGTCTGCGTCTCCCAATCACTTAAATGGACGTGGAGAGAAATTTTTCTAAATATAAATATTTACAAACAGATAATCGTCATTGATTTACTTTTGATAACATCAAATGCGCTTTAATCAAACCATGCAATAATTTTGATTTTTGAGTAATTTGTAAGCTTTGATAAATGTTGTTATGGGCTACCATATATTCCTAGAACCATGTATAAATAGAAATTATGCGTAACACAATATTATATGTATTGCACACCGTTATATTTAACTAATTGGTCATAAACCGAGTAGTAATATTAAAAGATGTAATAAACTGTTAATCCATATTCTTAGAATAATGAAGTAGGTCAAACGAACAAAGCCTATTGCTGAGTATTGCCGAAACAGCAAGTCCTATGACGTCAATCGAACCATATAAAAGAGGGAAAAAAATGACCACAAGGCAGATGAGTTCTATATAGTCACGGAACTGCAGGCAACTTCACGTCACTCAGTATCAGAATTTTGATAAACACTTTGAATTATAAAATAAATGTATTAAATGTATTAAAAAGTTAAAGTCTCGTGTTTATTAAAATTAAATATATCTTCGACTGCACTACTTGAAATCGAGCCGGTGGCACGTAACAATTTATAAAACAAATGTTTGTCATTTTTTTTTATTTCATATTTTAAGGACATTTTTTGTCATTTTTGTGTCATATTTTGAGTAATTTGTAAGTTTTGATAAATTTATATAGAATGTTATAGTAAAATAGAATAAAATATTTAAAAAAAATGTATTTTCATTAATTTAAAACAAATATTTGTAATTATTTAGGTCATTTATATGTCATATTTGCATCTTTTTTTAGGTCATTTTTTAATGTTTTTAAGGTGATCAACTTTCGAGCCCTAATGATGACAGACACACACAAAACAAAAAACACATATATACTGAATAATATTTTATTAACAACTATGTATCATTATTGTTATTCTACTGTTATAATATTATGTAATTGATTTATTATCGCCTGTATAATAGTCATGGCTAAGATTCTCGGAAATCCGTATGGCGTACCTACGAGCAGTCATTCGTCACTATATTTTGCAATTGAAAACTCCTATGCGGCTATGAAATTCCCAAAAAGCGAAAAAAAATTCACCCAGTACCAAAAGCCTGAATTTTAAAACATATTTTA